AACATTTACATTCTGTATAATATGTTGTGTTTTTAGGTTGAAGTCAAATACTTTGTTATTTATTTCATTAACATATTTGACCTTCAGCCTTGCTCATTCCTGCCACTTCTGACTATGCGTGCCTTTTCTATTTAGAATTCTCTGCTCCACCTTAAAAAAAAACCTTGTTATCTTCCCTCTATCTTTTCATTCATATAAATCAAAGGTTATTTTTACAAATAGTCAAGCTATGCATTCCTACTTATTCCTATTTGTCTTTAAATTTTAGCCTCATATGAACCCATCTTCTCTAATATACTGTAGATCTTGAGACTCCAAGTATCTAATCATTGTGATTTTCAAACTTTGAATACCATGACAATTAACTTTTGCTGCTATGAATGGCAGATTATTTTAAGAGACAGCTAGTTTTAGATGCCATCTTTCAAAACATGCCCACTGCTTGAATTATACAAGCATGGCTTACTGTTTGGCCTATACAAGCATGCTATAGCTTATCCAGGAAAAGCAGGAATGAGTTTTGATGTTCCCATAGTTGATGGATCTGAACATTGATTCTAAAATATTGCCCCTTTTAAATTAGATGCAACTCCCATCTTGAGAGCCCTTAATTAATTGTTTTAGATTTATTATCAGTCCTAATTTAGTTTTCTCATCAAACTTACAAGGAAATAATTTCACAGAGACCTTGTTTTGTGCCAAACAGATCAACAATCAACTACAACAATCTGTTCAACCACAGAAAATCTGGGACCTGAAAGATCACCTAATTTACTTATATAAATCACTCCAGAAAAGTTGTGCATATCTACTATATATAGAAGAGGAGCTAACTTTAACACTTCTTTGCCTAGAAGTCTTGGCAACACAAAAATGGTCTCCAAATTTATGCTTATTCTTAAATTTAAGGAAGTAATATTAAGCACAGGCAGAGTTTTAAGTAACAACTATGTAACGTGGGACAATTTTTAAAAAACACAGAATCTTGGAAAACTGAAAGGGAGATGAATAAGGATCTTTTATAACATTATACGCCTCTCAGCTATATCTTTTCAGCCGCATTAAAAAGAAAAGAACAGAGACAAGATTCTCTTCTATATCATAATTACATGTCTTAAGCCCCTCATCAAATAACTACTTTCTTTGTGGCTTACCAACAGATTCCTGTCAAAACTGCCACAATAATGACAAAATATGAACCTATTTGCATTAATTTTATATATGGTATAGACTATACTGCTTTCTCCTGTAAAACTATTAATGCATTTTCATGTCAATGTTCATCATCCCTTTAGGGATGTTTATATTTGCTTTTTTACCAAGCTTACATACTGCTCCAAACCTATCGCTCTCTCAGTAGCTTATAGATAGTTAGAAGCCTAAAACAAGCCAATGTAACTGTAACATTTCTCAGCATCAATAAATAATCTTAACCATTAGGGATTTCAAAGGTTAATTTTTCCAAAGAATCTATAAAAAGAAAATAGGAAAGGTACAGCTTCTGGTTCTGGCAACAAATAATATAAAGGGATCTACTACACCCCTTAAATGTAACAGAAGATGTGTAAGTATACATAAACTCCTGTTACTGCCAGGGAAATATTTAGTGAATCACAAGGTTCCATGTCTTCATCCATCAGGAGCCGAGTTCCATTTTCCTCAAAAAGATTTTGACTGTAAGGGGTAGGGTAAGAGGTCCTTGTATAAAAGCTTGTGAGGAAACGGTAAAATGTCCTTTATGAAAAAATATGACTGCTTCCTTGCTGTAGTAGAGTGTATAATCCTAAAGTCCAATTGCCCTGCAAAGGATGCTTTGGACAGCAAAGAGAACCTGAACTGACATTCCCAAAACAACACAAAGGAATTCTGCTCTGCTTTGAATCACTGCAGCTGAATATCAGCCTACATACTACTTACTGAGATTAAAAGAGGCTCTCTAGAGATTCAGTTAGGTATGAGGGATTTTGGTTCTTTTTTTAAAACCAGGAGTTTACCAAGGAATTGAACTTGTACATAGAAAAGATGGGCCTACTACTAAGCTATAATTCTTAATGAGAACACTTGTTCTGTTTACCATTATTTGTATAAACACTGAATAATTACTCCCAGTGATGGTTACAACTATTATACCTTTGGGATGGAAAGAATATAGCCACAGAGATTAGTGTTAGATTTATTTACTTTGGCACATCTTAGCAACCCAAAGACTTTTATTTTAGGCAGACTTTAAAACAGAATATGAAATAAGAAAATGAAGATTTCAACAATCACAGATAAAACCTATATAAAATTAGAAACAAAATAAATATAATTATTAAATATAAATAAGTTTCAGTGAGTTGAATAGGGCTTATTTCCATGTAAACATTGATTATATTGTGGCATATAGTTATGAATTCTTTATCCATGTTAATTTGTTAAAAAGTGAACCTATGATGTCATACGATTGGATCAATATTAAAAAGAAAGGATCTGAAGATGCAGAACACAGGTTGAAAAAAAGACAAAACTTTTGGATTCACGCTATTTTTAAATGAACATAAAAGTTCAATTCTTTAAAAATGGATGATAATCTCAATTTTTCCAAATCTTGCAGTATTTTTTAAATTTAGATCTTGCATGATTTGATAGTTTTACAACATTCCACAAAAATTTAATATTATTCACCATTAAGGTACTGTAGATACCGTGTGTGCAGAAAAATGGTAACAACAATCTTGACATCTGTAGTTACTTATTAACAATTGAATCATCTGGCTTACAGCAGGTGATCAAAGGTTATCAGAAGAAAAATTAGCTTCTAACAGGGTAACAGGTAAAACAAAAAAAATGCCTTTACTAATATTATGTTGTAATAATAGATCTAATACATGGTTGGTTAACCACAATTCTCAAAACTGACAATATTCCCTAACATTGAAAAATACTCATCTTTCTGGGTGTCTCCTATATCAATGAAGAGTTACCAATCATTTGTTTTCTAATATCTCAATAATGGGAATGTCAAGTATGAAACATACTTTTTCATAAACCAAATGTTCCTTTGCTTAACTATGCAGAAATAGTTGAAAGTTCCGTCAGCTCAACAAAGTATACTTTAAAATATAGTCCTCAACCTAAAACCATTCTCTTAGTGACAAGCAGCACTGAAAAGAGTGATATGACCTTTTTCACACTTACGACCACTGCAGTATACCCATGGTCATATGATCAACTGGCATGTATTTATGACAATTGCAGTGTCCTGCAAACTTCTGACAAGCCAAGTTATTGGGAGAGCCAGATTCACTTACTAATATTACGAACTTAATAACTGCAATGATACAAATGTGGCAGGACAAGTAAAATGGGACAAAACTCACTTAACTTACTTGTTGTTTAGTAACAGAAATGTTGGACTCAATTGTGGTTGTAAGTTGAGAACTACCTGTACACATGCATAGGATTATACTATATTCCATATTATTCTGACCTAGAGAACCTTCATTCCTTAACTCTGAAAAAAAGGAGATTCAAATTTTCTCTAACAAGGATGACTAATTATAACATCTAGTAGCAACAGTTTTAAAGCTGGCATTCCACATCAGAACTATGTACCTTTTTTGCCTATTAAAGGGTTGCTTAGATTCACAGACAAAAAAAAATAGGTAGGAAAAAAACAAAATATGGCACCAAGAAAAAATGGTTTAAACCTAATTAAAATTAAATGAATTAAATGTTTTATTTATTAAATTTATATTGTGCCCATCTCACTATCAAGCAACTCTGAGCATCATTACCTAACCCAATTAATTTCCTCTTTTTTGTTACCGAAAAATATATAAAAAACAATTCAGTGCCAATTCTGTATCCAGACCTTTGGGACTGTATCCAAGAATGGGAGGAACACATACCCAGCTGTATCACCCAAAGGGGAAAAGGAGCAGAGATTCTGAGGAACATGTTCTTTCATGTTTGTGGATTGTGGAAGATGAAAAAATAAACACCTTTGTTTTTAAAACAGGGGATATGTGTTTGCTTCCAAACAGCTTTGTACTGGTGTGAAAGCAAAAGAGAGAGAGAGAGAGAGAGAGAGAGAGAAAACTGTGCTGTGTACGCCACACTGAGCTCATGAAGGAAAGGTGGGTTATAAATTTAACAAAGATAAGGTTTAAGAAATTTCGTGAAAGACACAGATGTTCATGTCAGACACACAAAGCGGTTAAAAACAGATACCGGTAGCTTATGTTTTTTATATGCCTTCCAATTATTTTAAATTCTTTCATACGCTGATATCTAAGCCAATCCCGAAAGCTTCAGGAGTTATTTCATCTCAAAATTGAACTAAACTGATACGGAAGTAGATACATATTTCTTTCAATCCCACGCTATATAAACTAAAGACAAACTCGACCGAGTATCTATTGAGACTGTCAAGTCTTTCTTTTCCTTAGGCTGAAGCTCTCCAAATGCTCCATCCCAGCCACCTTATCTCGCCCAGTGGGAAAATACAGCGCCTGACTGGCCAAAACCTGATCCACGGTCCAGTATCGCCTCCTTGACCTCCTGCAGTCGCAGCCTGTAAACCGAATGCAGCACTGAAGGAGCAGGGAATGCTCTGGTTTGGAGTAAAAAGCTCCACGGAGGGCCGCGGCGTTTATCGGTTGCTTCGCTCGCCGATCCTCGGGCTACCATCTCCCGCCCCCGCCCCCCAATCCAGCCTCCTGCGAACCTGCACGGCGAGCCCCGAAAGGCGGAGGGGAGAAAGGAGAACGCCAAGGGCATTCCTCCGCAAATTGCAACCGGAGGGTTACGCGGCCAACCCGCCGCAAACAACAGAGCCCGAGGAAGGGAAAAGGCGGCCGGCCAGCGGCGGTAAAGCCGAACGGATTGTCTGCCCGTTGCCAAGGAGACAAGACCGAGGTCGAGTCTTGCGAGGACCGCGGTGCAAGGCCGGCAGAGAAAGGGTTGCTCCAGCTGCCAGGAACCGAAGGGAGGGCCCGTTATGCTATGAGTCTCACCTGCCGAGTGCCCGCTTCATAGCAGAGTCACCGGCGGGTCGGGCGCTGCCTGCTAAACGCGGGTTCGGTCTCAAGCTGAAGCCTTTATCCAGCGAAGAGGAAGACGAAGCGGAGGCGGCGGCTGAAGCCGGAACGGAGGAGGCAAAGCGCTCATGCTCCAAGGTGACGGACTCGTTCCGCTTTCTCATGCCGGCGGTGCCAACGCGCGGGCGGTGCCACTTCCACTCAGCCTCAGGGAAGATGCCTCTGAACTGAACTCGACGCCTCTTTAAGCCTACATTATACCGACAACCGAGAAGATAGCAGCGCTTCCTGCGTGCTACCAATCAGAAAAGACTAGGCCCACGTGACCTACGCGTCACATATCAACAAAGCTTGGAGCGACTGATCGTTTCTTCAGCTTTGTTACTGAATTGCCCAGATCAAAGATGGCTCCTGCAATGGGGGGCGGGGGGGGCGTTTAAAATACGCTAGGGTAAACGAGGATTACTTTTTCCCTACAAATAATTACTAGCAGCTATGCAAATACAGCATATGGAAGGCAGGTGAAAACCCGTGGTTATTTTAGTAGAATTTGCACTGTGTGTCGCTAAAGCTTGCAGATCTAGGGTGGAAAAATTCAGATGATGGCAACAAAGTGGTTGTTTACATCACCTTGCTATTTCTAGTAGTCGTGGGGATCCTTGTAGCCCGGATCGGATATATCACTAAATATATAAACCATGAGATTTTTTTTTAATAAAGTTTTATTTGGGTTTTCACACACAACATATAAGTAAAACATCTTTTTTGAAAATAGCATGGTCCCGGGTTGAACTTCTTTATACAGACACAAAACTCAATTTCATGCTCCTTTTTGTATTCTATTCCATAGCTTATACTATTCTACATTTTCTATATAGTTTTTCCCCTCTTTTAATTTTCTCAATTTATTTTGATTATCTCATCTCAATTCAAATCATTATATTTATACTTTTGTCTGTTCTGTTTCAATTTCATATTATCTTTTCTCATTAAACAAATTTTCTCCTGTAGTTACTAACTGGAGAATGACACCTTTATATCTTTTAATTACATCCATTCAACTCTTATTTAAACTTCAGTATATACCTTAAGTTTATGACCTTCAATATAATACATAATACATAACTTCCAAACGAATTCTGCTTGGCACATTCTTATAATACACATTATATTCTTTTTTTAAAAAAAGGATTGTAAATATATGTAATTATAAACCCTCATTCCATTCCAGTTCAGTTCTATCATTAATAATCATTAAAATCTTAACATTTTTAACACTTCTTTTCAATTAAATATCATACTTCCTTAAAAACACATATAATCTCCATAATTAATTTTTCCCTTATTTCTCTTCACATATGTTTTGTAAAACATTAAATATACCTTTTGTTACGTTTATTTATTGACAAGCATTCCACTGAATTACGATAGCTATTTTATCAGACATTTTAATCATACATTGTTTCATATTTTCTAAAATTATTTCTGCTTCTAATATAGCTTCTTCTTCTTCTTCTTTTTCTTCAGCGTTTGTCTCGCGCTCTGGCGAGGTCCGCTAATGTCCTTGAGTACTGCTTCCACGCCTCTCTGTCTGCCACGTATGTCGGGTCTGCCTTCGCGATCTCTAGATCGGCCTTGATCTGCTTCTAATATATCTATAATGATCTGCTTCTAATATAGCCATACTATCTTATGTACCTTTGCAGAATCCTTTTTTCCATTAAGTTTTCACCCATTATCTCTAAATAGGCCCTGTTTCTCTATATTTTGCTTCTGTCCTTTATAACTTCTTTTCCTTTCTTTCTTCCCTCTCATCTTCTCCCTCCCCTTTTTACCCCCTTGTCTCTCTAGTTCTAATTCTCTCTTCTGCATTTCCCTTTTCTGTTGCTTTCTGATTTTATACTTATTTTTCACTCTATTTTGGGGGGAGTTGTTTTTCCCAATCTTAAACTTTCCATTCCCTTTCTCCCCTTTCCTTCCCCCCACCCATCTAAGATTACTTGTTCATTAAAGCTTCTTCTTTGTCGCAATCTTCTTGTTCTGCAGGCATTTCTTCTTGTTTCTCATAATTCCAAATCTCCATTTCTAAAAACTGAAATACAAAGCCAAAAGAACCTCTCCCTTCTTGTGCATCTTCTTTGTACTTTTTTAAGTTCCATTTTCAGTTCTTCTAAAAGTGGAGCCATTTTAAACAGTTTTAAACAACACCCGATTGATTTTAGTCATTCAAAACAATAACCAAGAATCCAGAAATCATCAAGTAATCCAGATAGTCCCGAGTTATATCTTCTTATTTCTTTTTCGACTTTCTCTTCCTGGGGTTTTTGTTGCGATATTTCAGTTAGAATGTATCTTTTGGAAGTCTTGTTGAGATTTTGCTGTAAGTTCTTTTTTAATTCCAGGCAGTCTCCTCCCTTCCAGATCCTACCCTTTTATTCTTTTTCTCTCCTTTCCTGTTTTCAAAAGCTTTTAATTATCCAGAAATCTTTATTATCCCTTTGACTTTTTATTTTCAGCATTAAATGCCTATTGATGTCAAAGTGGATTTTTTTCCAATTTCTTGCTTAAGTCTCTTAGCTGTCAGTATAGAAAAAGGAGGAAAAAACCCCAAATCTTTTCCCTTTTCTCTCTCCTTCGCAGCTTAAAATTTTTCTTAGGGAACAATTTTATTGTTTTTTAACAGTTTCAATTCCAGGGTACCTTATTTGTTGCTTTTGCTGTTTGATCCAGTCAATCAAAACTTTCTCTTCTTATCTTCCTCCTGCACATTCTTTTCCGGTCGAGTTCTTTGTGGTGGCCATTTCTGACCACCGCTTCAACCGCCTTCGGGAAAGGGAGTCATGGCCAGCTGGGGAGGAGAGATGCGGCTCTCCTCAACCCTGCTGGCAGTCTCCCCCATCTTCACCACCTCTACGCGGTGGCTTAGCCCTGAAACCAGCCGGCTCGGGGCGCTCCAGCAGCGAGCACGGATCGAAGCCTCGCAGAGACGAGGTTTCGGTCTGTCGCTGAAGAAGCTCAAACCGGAAGTCCCCGAGATTATTTTTTTTCATTCCACAGTGGTGTATTTGGAAAGTGGGTCATGGTGCACATGATGCAGACTGCTGCCGTTGTAACGATTGAATGGAAATAAAAGATCATCTGTAACCTAATAATTTCCAATAAATACTGTCACTCCATCTAATAGTCAAGGGAAGTTATTAAAAGTAATTTAATCTTGTATTTAATAGAAAACAATACAAAACAATATATTATGGCTTATGGTGCATAAAAAATATATCAAAACGGGGAAGTGATAAGTGAAAAAATTACAGTACTTATATAAATTATAAGCAGATTATAAAATGTTCTAATATAGTTAAAAGCTACAATAGGAACAATTATAAAACCCAATCTACATATCATTTTGAGAAAGTCAAACGCTTGGTGAGCCATTTGAACAGTGCTGCTTTCTCTCACTTCACTGGAGCTTAATGGAATTGTTGCAACCAAGCCCCAATTGAAGAAAAGCTAAAAGCAGTTGATTGTTTACATTTTTAGAGCACCTGAGATGTTTCATCATTTGATAAAAAAAAACCAAATATACTAAAATAAGTAGTAGAAACGCACTCTCAAAATACATTAATTCCTTCTGAAAGCTGATAAAAATACAATGAGTTTACAACAGTCTTTAAAATTCATTAAATAAAAATGAAAGGCTTATTACGAGAACTCAGAATCCATCTACAAAAGGCTTAATGTAATACATAATGTAATATAACTACATATAATGTAATACATTAGTTAATCTGTTTAGTGCAATAATGACATTAATTGAATTCACTTATTTAATCATAATTAGCTGCAGAAGTCATAGCCTGGTTCATACTGACTTGCTGTGTTGTTTGGTGTTATTATGACAGAACAAAGTCATGAATTTGGCAGGGGTGGGTTGGATTAATTGCAGAGCATAGGATTGTAGCCAAAGAGGTAAAAGGATAGTTCATGGGAGAGAATAAACTTCAGAAATTCCTGTTGAAAAATGCAAGATGTGTCTCTGAATTCTGATAGAACTGCCTATTTTCCATCTTGCTTGAGGTGCATTGCTTTCTGATAAAATATTTGGTCAAATGTTTAGATAAGGCTACATATCTGCAATAAGAAATATTTATACCTGAAAATAATATTGCATAAATTTTTATTTTAAAAGGAAGGCAGTGCCATGAAAGTGGATTGATAGTAGAAGGTTAGCATTTTTGAATTTGCAAGACTGTGTGGCTCTGGGTTTGGGGTTTGTTGGCTCAGGGAGAATTGCCATCTTTGGTCTTGGATGGTGTGGCACTACCCCAAACAGACCCTGTGCATAATCTAGGGGTTTTCCTAGACTCACGACTCCTGCTTGAAGAGCAGGTGGCGGTCATGGCCAAGAGGGCCTTTGAACAACTACAGGTTGTGCACCAGTTACGGCCTTTCCTGGACCAACGGTCCCTACTCACAGTCACTCATGCCCTAGTCACTTCCCGTCTTGATAATTGCAATGTGCTCTACATGGGGCTGCCCTTGAAGAACAACTGGAAGCTCCAGTTGGTGCAAAATGCAGTGGTCCGCATGGTTTTGTGCAGACCCCAGTGTGCACATGTTTCACCTCTCCTGCAGGAGCTGCATTGGTTGCCGATTTGCTTCTGGATGCAATTCAAGGTGTTGGTTGTTACGTTTAAAGCCTTTCATGGCTTGGGACCAGGTTATCTGTGGGAATGTCTTTTGCCGGTCACATCTACCCAATCTATTATAGCAAGGAGGCAGGGAATGCTGCGGGTCCCATCCCTGAGGGAGATACACCTGGTGGGACCCAGAAGAAGGGCCTTTGTGGTGGCTACCTCTTTCTGGAACATCATTCCCCCAGAGATTAGAATGGCCCCCTCTCTAATACACTTCCAAAAGGCACTGAAGACTTGGTTCTGCCAGTGGGCCTGGGGAACGCAGAGTGGGATGGAGCCCATCAAATGCTCATGTGATCTGCTGTCGTCAGGGCAGGGGGTGGTGATTTTTTATTTATTTTTTCCAGGTTTTGTTCTATTGTACTTTATTTGATTCTTTTTGTTTTTATTGTTTTTTATTTTAAATATGGTTTTACATTCTGTAAGCTGCCTCGAGTCGCCATGGGCGAATTGGCAACAATATAAATTCAATAAATAAATGTATGCAGGTAAAGCTAAAAAGACCCATGTTCAAAAAGACACAGTGTCTTCAAAAAAAAAAAAAAAAAAAAGGTCCAGTGGCCTCCTGAAAAAGCACCTTTGAGACCCCCATGTCCAGTACTAGAGCCATTTAACAATTGGTTGCAGTTACTACAGAGCAGATTTACTTGGAACAGTGTGAAATAGCCAAGAACACATTCTTGCAAAGGTAACTTTGGTATCAGTTGGATTCCAAATTAATGTGTTTAGAAGCCCTTACATATGTTATTTTAGAAAAACACTGAAGAAATCTGTAGCATCTCAAAAACATAGAAGTTGGATCAAAGTAAAGGACTACTTAGTCGCAGCATTTTGTTCTCACTGTAGCTAACCAGATGGTTCTAAAAAGCTTGTAAATACGAGAGCAAGCATCAAATGTCTGCTTAATTTATTTATTTATTTTTATTTATTTGATTTGTCAATTGTTTACAAGATAATAAGTACAAGTGTATACATAGTTGTGAATATATGAAATGGGTACATATAAGAAAAATAAAAGAATAAGAGAAACAATAGGACAGGGACGGTACGTTGGTGCGCTTATGCACGCCCCCTACAGACCTCTTAGGAAAGGGGTGAGGTCAATAGTAGACAGTCTAAGGTTAAAGTTTTTGGGGTTTGGGGAAGAGACTACAGAGTCGGGTAGAGTATTCCAGACATTGACCACTCTATTGCTGAAGTCGTATTTCCTGCAATCAAGTTTGGTGCGGTTTACTTTGAGTTTTTATCTGTTGTGTGTTCTTGTGTTGTTATGGTTAAAGCTGAAGTATTCATTGACAGGTAGGACATTGCAATGTATGATTTTATATACCATGCTTAAGTCGGACCGAAGACGGCGTAATTCGAGGTTTTCTAGTTTTAGAATTTCGAGTCTGGTGGCGTAAGGTATTCTATAACGGGTAGAAGAGTGGAGAACTCTTCTTGTGAAATACTTCTGGACTTTCTCAATTGTGTTAATATCACATACGTGATAAGGATTCCAGACTGATGAACTGTATTCGAGTATTGGTCTAGCAAATGTTTTGTATGCTCTGGTTAGTAGTGAGATATTACCAGAGAAAAAGCAACGTAGGATTAGGTTAACAACTCTTAATGCCTTTTTGGCTATGTAGTTGCAGTGAGCTCTAGCACTTAGATCATTAGAGGTGAGTATTCCCAGGTCCTTTACAGAGCTTGGGTCATCAACAAGATCTTGACTATTCAGTTTGTATTTTATTTTCTGATTTTTTTTACCAATATGTAAGACAGAGCATTTATTTGTTGAGATTTGGAGTTGCCATATGTTAGACCATTCAGATACATAGTCTAGATCTTTTTGAAGGGTAGTAGTATTGTCTGTGGTATTGAACAGCTTTACATCATCAGCGAAGAGAACGCAATTGCTCTTGATATGATCACAAAGGTCGTTTATGTAGATTATGAAGAGAGTTGGTCCTAGAACACTGCCTTGGGGAACACCACTATTGACAGGTACTGGATTTGATAGGGCGTTCCCAATTTTGACCATTTGTTGTCTGTTTGACAGGAATGCTTCTATCCAGTTATTCAGTTGTCCAGAGATACCATAAGATTTTATTTTTAGGAGTAGTTTGTCGTGTACCACTGAATCAAAGGCTTTGCAGAAGTCTATGTAGATTGCGTCTATTGCTTTGCCCTGGTCGAGTTGATTAGTCCATATGTTTTTGCAGTGTAAGAGTTGCAGATTACAGGATAGTTTTTTTCTGAAACCAAATTGTTTATTGGAGAGTAGGTTGTTTGTCATTGATGTAATGTCATTGATAATATATTTGTTAGCTACATAGATCTATCCAGAAGAAAGACTATTTTTTATCACATAGTATATAGCAGGGGTCTCCAAACTTGGCAACTTAAAGACTTGTGGACTTCAACTCCCAGAACTATGGGGGTTGCCAAGGTTGGAGACCCTGGCATATAGTGTACAATTCCAAAGGCTCTGAAACTATAGATTTTCCAGAGTGTGTGTTTGTTTAAAAAAAAAAAAAGCAATATAGTTAAAATGCATCAACCTGTGAATTTTTAATTGGGGAAAAGAAGTGAAAAACAATGCTTTTAGTTGAAAGAGTTCAACGTTCACTTAGGGCTCATAAATCACAAGGATTCAGAGCGCATCCTAAATCTTTCTAAGTACCCCTCTGATTTTCATTGGTTCCTCCGTTTCCTGAGAAGTTACGCATTTTGTCCCTTTCCCTATTCCGTAATAAGTAGTTGCTGAAGGCGGGACTTTTTTCCTCCCTCCCATCCCTCCAAGGAATCCAGTCTTCCTATTGGCCGAGCAGTACGAGGCGCGATTTACCACTCGCTTGCCCGCCCGCCCGCCCGCCGGCCCAGTTCTGAGGAGATTCGGCCGATCCTGTGGCTGTCATGTTTGGTGAGAAAGCGACCGAGCTGGTGCGAGAGCTCTACCGCGCGAGCGATGGGCAGCTTCCTGCCTTCAGCGTAAGTTTTTGCCGCGCTTGCTTGCTTCGCTTTTTCGCCTCGCCGTAGGTCCGACTGGAGGAGTCCGCCGCAGCCTTGAGGGGACTGACTGGCGGGAAGGCGCGGCGCGAACCGATTCGTTTCTTCTCACAAGTGGGAGGCTCGTCCTTGAAGTTGATAGTATCCCAAACTTTTTTATTTTTATTTATTTTATTTTATTTTACAGCATTTAATCACCTCGCTTCATTATTTGTGCAGGAGGTTCTCATAGTAAAATCGTACCCAGATCTAATGCAATAGCGTTGTCCAACCCAGCCTCTTCCGGGAGTTGGATTAGAGACCCATCACCCTTCGGTAGGTGCAGACTTTGGCCGGATTTTCAGCACCCGTTGGAGCCACATTTTCCTTTGTAAGAAATGTCAAGAAGCAGCTTACAAGTCTTAATGAAGCAAAGCGGAGAGGGTTGGGCAGCTGGCACTAAATCAGCTTTCTTTCTCTCTCCAATAGCGGACCTGTGGCCCAATGACTGAATGATTGTGTGGGTGGTTCTTCTTCTTCTTCTTCTTCTTCTTCTTCTTCTTCTTCTTCTTCTT